TAATGTAAGGATCCCTGTTGGGGAGGCTGCAAACAGAGACAGGCAAACCACGCATGAACAACCGGTGATGCTCGCTCGCGTCCGAGCCCCCTTCATTTCAAGATGGCAGACCGACGTCGCCCGAAGGGCGTCTCGCCGCAAACGAGACCAGGGCTTACAACAAGTCCTGTCGCAACTTGACTGCCCCTGTTGAACTACTGCTTGTACTAATGTTTCTGCTACCTCTACGGCTTCTACTACTTCTTCTACTTCTACCTCTACTCCTGTTGCTACTACTACTACTACTACTACTACTACTAATACTACTACTCCTACTACTGCTACTGCTACTACTACTACTACTACTACTACTACTACTACTACTACTACTACTACTACTACTACTACTACTATACTACTACTATACTACTTCTACTCTACTACTTCTTTCCTTTCGGTTTACGACCCGTGGAAGGTCAACCAACAGGTGCAAGCAATGCGTCACGTGTGTCAAGCCTTGTTCTTTGGCTTGTTTTCAGAAACTAAAAGGGTGAACTTGTTTTCAGAGGCTTGTTTCTCAGAAACCAAAAGGTCAATTTGATTCACATCCTTTGCGTCACTTTTCGGAAAAGAAAAAAAGAAAGAAAAAAAACACCCAAAAGCTTCAACAAGAATTGTTTGAGTTACCTGCTAAATTCTGATCTGTATCCAGCCTCGCCCGGCAAGAAACAAACCCCGAGGGTTTTCTCCCCGGCCTCGCGAGGGTTTTCGGCAGGCCTCGCCGAGGGCACCCGCTGTGTTACCTGGCAGGCGGAGCACGCCTACGAGCGCCTTGGCCGGAGACCTGTGCTTCAGGGAACGGGTGGTAGAACTGGATCTGGAGGAAGACACGTGGGAAGAGAACAAATCACAGGGAATGGCCTTCCGCCCAAAAAATACACTTGAAGGCCCCAGAAAGAAAGAAAAGTGGAAGCAGAACTGACCAATTCATTCCTAAGATTTCGTCCGTTGCCGGAAGCAATCGGAAGGTCAACACCATTTTCACTGCTGCTTGGGCCGGCAGCGTGCTTGCAAATTGCTTGTGTTGGGGACGGGCAGACCCTTCTGAGAACAACGGCAATCTGCACGAGAAGCGTTCGCGCTGGCCGACCAAGACTTTGATCGGAGAAAGATAATTGCAATGCTGAGTTTTGGGGGCCCGATGCAAGAGAAGCTGGACCATCATCTCGCGTGATCATGTGTTTCATTGCTCTATTCTCTTTCGTCATTGTGGGGTTGTTGCTTTTGATGCTGGGACAGCTTCGGCTGAATCTTGTGTTGGATGAGCTGATTGTCGACATAATACCGATACAACTAAGATGCATAATGTCGCAAAAGCGCACCGCATTCCTTGCAAAGCTGCGCACCGCTATTCGAAGGCTAGTTTGTTGGGTCCTAGCAACCAGAGAGCAATTGAGCTTGCCACACCACCCAGACTCTCCGATTCGGCGATTCGCCCAAGGATCCTGAAGGCCACTTGGCATCGAACTTGGAATGGGTTGCCAACGGCAACTACTTAAAGGCGTACACGTGTTTGGAAAAGATACCAGATGACATGAACATACCGACAATATTTCATGGCTTTCAGGCTGAAGCGATCGGTGCATTGAATCAGCCGCTGGGTGGCCAAATTTGCCGCAAGTCCCGTACTTCACTAGCATGCCTACGCCCCACTTTCTGAGACACGTTTACACACGTGAAGCAACGTGCGTGCTACTGAAGCGTGTTTTTTGAAGAGGGACCCTTTTCCCTTCATTAGTCACGCTCTTTATATCAAACCTGGCACAAATCACAGCGCTTTTGCACAATCAGATGTCAACTTCGTCATTCCTTCCGGGTGCCCCTTTCCTGAAGCATCGTACCTGTGGGGGGAGAAAAGAACCCCCTAAATTGGCGGAGCCGCGCGGAGCTCAACGAGGGCTGTTGCCAAACAGGGTGTTTGTCTAGGGCAAACAATGATAGCAGTGAACCGCTGGGTCATTCGATTCCTTTTGGGCCTCTGAGATTTGATCATGGGCATCACTTCAGAGTTTGTTTGGATCATGTGTTTCACCTTGGACAGCACGACGCCTCCTTCAGCCGTTTTGGGGGCAGTTTCTGGGCAGTCGAACAGTTCAGCAGTCGGCAGTGATCGAAGGAATGTGCGCAACTCTGGCTTTGATCTTCACTTCCGGCCTGGTTTCCGAACTCGAATGTTGCGACACACGTTGCAAGTAAACGGGTTGTGCAAAAGTGGATGCCTTTTGGGGCCTTTTGGGGTCTCAACTGAACCCTTTCTTGTTGAACAATCCTCAAGTGGGGGTGTGTCCACTCGCGAAACGCTGACTGGCTTTCAAGGCATTCAAGTGACCAGCTGTGGCTTGTCTGGATGTTTTGCCCGGTGCGCATGTTTGTCGTCTCAACAAGAACGGGGCCACGCCCAGCAAGCGAAACATGGTGACTTGCAGGTATCCCGAAGAGCAAAAGCTCACTGTCCCGATCACTGTGGCGTTCCTTGGGGGACCTCAAAAAGGGTAAAAGGGCACCTGGCTGGGGGACCTAGGAGGCAAAGAGCTTGGCGCGAGATGATGTTTTGAAGCTGTTGGGGCTTCGTCTTGTTCGCATAGATTCCAAGGCGTGGTTGGCGTGGGTTTGTTTCATGCACGGAGCCTAGGTATTTGAGCTGGATTCCGAGCTGCATAGGCTGGGCATTGGGACTGTCGGAGGGCCCTGTTTCCTTTGGAGTAGATGCTACTCTTGGGATGATTCGCCATACACGGTTTCATGTAGATGACAAACTGTATGTAAGCTTGTAATGCTCATGGATTTCCTGAGTTCGTTCGTTTGTTTGTTTGTTCGTTTGCTTGCTTGCTTGCCTGTCGGCGTGCTTGCCTGGTTGTGTGTGTGTGTGTGCCTTTCCCTCTCGCTTTCCCCCTCTCTCTCTCTCTCTCTCTTTCTCTGTTTTTCGCGTGTTTGTGTGCTTGTTTTTTTGTGCATGTGTTTGCGTGTCCCTGCACCTTTATGTTTCCCTGATCGGGCATGCAGAGTGTATGTGTGTGTGTGAACCCTCTTAGTTCATGGAGGCCGGGAGTCACCTCCTTTTCTTTCTTTTTCTTCTGAGTCTATTGCAGGCAGTGGCCCACTCAGTCCACTGCCAACGAGGCTGCTCAGTTCCGGATTGATCACCCGGACGTACCGATTCGCGAATCATACCTTGTGTTTTCCAACCCGTTAGCGTATGTCTGGCTACCAAGAGCGTCGTGATCGTGAGAACCCTTCAAACGTTCAGCTGCTCCGTACGCGACTAAAAAAATGTGTGTTCTGTGTGTTCTGTGTGTCTGTGTGTGTCGGTGTCTGCGTGTTGCCTGTGTTTCCGGGCAATGGGGTGGCAGTAGTCCGTTGTGATGGCTGCTCCGCGCCTCGGCCAGGAACGATGGCCGCGTGAACTGCAAGGGATTTGGGCGAAGCTCTGTGAAGATGTTCAGAGAGGACTGACGGGTGCTCAACTTTTCCACCCATTGCTCAGGGTATCCCTTGTCGTGATATGTTTGGGAATCCTGCCGGCATTGCTTCAATCATCCGCCGCTTGGTTTGATCGCTTCCCTTGTGGCTTCGCCTCAGCAGAGAGAGCCAGCTCCAGACCAGGGCTGGGGCAACCCCTTGCTCAAACTTGATTTAAACTCGTAATGCTTCAACACACACACACACACATGTGCGCGCAAGTTGGTTTCAGGGCTAGGTGTTGGTTGTCAGACCAAATCTTCCCCAACCCTGCCCTAGAACTGCTCCAAATGAAAGGCTAGGCGCTGAAATTCCACGAGCGCAAAGCCAAAGCAGTTGAACATTATTTTGAGTGGAACGATCGCGTTGATAGACTCTGTTTGGTCCGGGCAGGTAACGCAACCTTAGTGTTGAGAAACCCTGGACCATGTTCTGCTGACCGTTTTGCGTGTCATGTTTGGCGCCCAATCTTGCCGGCGTTTCATCATGCGAATGCTCACAAGCCCTAATAGTGGCGTCAGGATTGCGCCTATGCCCATCCCACTTAAAATTGCTTTCCGGCACCCGGCGCACATGTTGATACTCATATGTGATTGATTGTGCGATTGGCTACGAGGTTTTATTTGTTTCTTCTTCTTTTTTATTTCTCCGTTGCACTCATGTTGGGTGGACGGAGAGGTTGTTGACCGTGCGTCACGCCTCATTTCAATGTGTTGCTGCTAATGTAGCGCACACACTCCTGCTTTGTCCTGGAGTGCTTATTCGGTGGAGGGTCAAGCATTGTGCTATATATGTAAATGTTTGCATGCGTTGAGCGTGGAGAATGCGAAGAAAAACCAAAGAAAACCCAAAAACTCGGAGTATGACACCTTGTCATTTTTGTGGTCAAACGCAGGCCCTTTGCCCATTGGGGGATGCTTAGTTGTATGACCCTCTTGTGTATGAGTCCTTGTTCCGCGTAATAGGCACAAAATGGGCCGTCCGCGGCGCCATCGAGACTAGCCGTGCTGGGGACTGCGCTTTGGAAAAGCCTTGCGCTGGAAGCGCCGGGCATTACCGTCGCCTGGATCACTGGCATCAAACGCGCGAGAAACCGTACAACCTCTCACTACGTATCGGGAGTATCCGCTTCTTAGCGCTCAGAAACGACTAGCAGAGCAACCCTCAGAGCAGAGCTCGCGATGCGTCGGGAACGGCTGCTTTTGAAACGCGGTTATTGTACGCAACTTGAACTTTGCATATTTGATTTGGTTTGGCCTGGTCCACATCCTTGGGGAGCCAAGACAACACGGCCTTCTCACTCGCAACATATGCAGTTTGCGATTTGGGATTCGTTCTGGTTTGTGGTGGGGTTGTTCAGAGTTATTGAAAACTACCCCTTAAGCGCCAGACTAATACCTGAAGCTTCCTGACACGTCGCCAGACTTGCCGGTTCGCAGGACCCGTACCCGCGGCCCTGCCCCAGCCTGCGCCAGTGTGAGGTGCTGGCGCGCTGGAAGGAGGCGGAAAAACTCCGATCTTTGAAACCCTGTTCGCTCGCTTCGCTCGCAAGAGCGAGCGCCCTATGGTTCGGTTCCTCACGAACTTTTCCCGTAAGTGGATCATGTCCCACTTGGAAAACCCCAAGAATTGGCCAGGCGGAGTTTTTTCAGCTTTGGGCAACGCAGCGGAAAGGCAATTCCTACAATGCAACCAAAAACTCCGTCTTCCAATTTATGATCGGATTATTTCCTAAGGTGGTTTCTATCTCCGCCATCCAGAAGGGATGGTTCCCTTCCCGGCCCCGCCCCCCCCCCCCCCAGCCCCCCCTTTCCCGGCCCCCCTGTGTTCTGTTTTTCAGACCATTGATCTCCCGCAACATTTGGCTCAAGGCCCCCTTTTGCATAATCACGACCATCCGAGCGTGAGGACAAAAGAGCCATTGCAGGCCGCTTACGGGATTATCCATCAGACAACATCCTCCAATCATCCATTACTGGCATATTGGACTCTCTCCGGAATAGATCCAGGGACCAACAACGACCTCAACTACCACAGGGTTCCAGTTCCCTCCGGGGATAGGCACCTGGGGCAGTGGGCCTCAATTTGTGGTAGCGGAGCGGGTTCCAGCCCGCCGAGCATGTCACCGCTTGTCACCGCTTCGTCACCGCTCTCTTTGGGGCCGAAAAGTGCGCAAAAAGGCTTGGAAAAGCGAAACCAGCTCCGCGGCTTCGGTCTGACTTCGCTCTGGTGCGGCCCTGGTGCGGGCCTGGCGTCCAGTAAGAATTCCGACTTCGCTCCTCACCGAGGTCGGATTTCCGACTTCGCTCCCCGGTCCAAGCTTCCAATTCTGGGGCCTGGTGCGGGTCTGGTGCGGACCTGGTGCGGGCCTGGTGCGGGCCTGGTGCTGCCTTTCAGTCAATCCTGTCGTCAGCGCAGGATTGCTTCGCTCAATCCTGTTGTCAGCGCAGGATTGCCTCACTCAATCCTGTCGCCAGCGCAGGATTGCCCCGGTGCACTACCAGCAGCTCGGGCTTGGAGCTGTTCTTGCCCGAGCACAGCCTTGTGATGGAGCCGGCCCTGCTGTAGAGCTCCCAGGCCTCAGGCGCGTCGTTGATGCTCACGAGGAAGGCAGGCCGCTTTCGAAGAGCGCGTCTCGGAGCTCCGAGTGGAAGGCCAGGTCATGCCCCCGCCTCCTCGTGCCATAGTAGTTCATGCTGCGGCCTGGGAAGATGTAGGGAGGATCGGCATATATGGCCTGTCGGGGTGCCTGGCGGGGCAGAGCGCGTAGATAGGCCAGCGCGTCCTGGCATCGCACGGTCACATTGCGCGGTGGCCGCTGCATACGTCGCACGCTGCTCAGCCCCAGCGACCGCTGCTGTATGAAGGAGCCCCACTTTCCCGAGAAGCTGTTGCGCAGCAGGACGTATGAGCAGGCAGCCCGACGCCCGGCGCGGCCTCTCTGAGTGCCCGGCAGAAGGTGACTGAAGTAGAAGCGCCTGTCTACCTTGCGCCCCGCCAGGCGCAGCAAGGAGCGCAGGAAGACCGGGTCTTGCCTTAAGTAACAGCGGTGCAGGTTTGTGACGGGCTCGAAGGCGTCGACGCCGCGTACCTTCAGGGCCGGACGCCGGGTTGCGAGGTAGTATTCCAGCTTTCCAGAGCCGAAGAAGGGAGAGTGAAGCACAGCGACGTCCCCCAGCAGCCGGTCCACGTGTGGAGCCAGCCACGATTTTTAGTCTCTGGGGACTATCATGCGCAGCGGGACACGGCGCGCACGGGCTCGGACCAGTGCTCCGCCACGCAGGGCAGCGCGCTGTTCTCCGCGGCCCGGTCAGTTTGCGTCGCGGAGTGCTTGGCGCACCTCAAGCTCCTTACTCTTGGTCACCGAGCGCGGGTTGTCGCCGTGCATCGTTCGCATATGTCCCAGCAAGCTCTGCGCTCCGGAAAACGGGAGGTCTTGCCGAGGACAGCCCTGGATTTGACATACAAAATTGCTGCAGTCGCGGCAGTGCGCCCGCTGTCGCCCATGCTCGCAGATCGACGCGCCGCCGCATTCGAGGCACTGATACCGCAGCCGCGCATGTTCGCAGACCGACGCGCCGCCGCAGTCGCAACACTGGTGCCGCTGTCGCCCGTGCTCGCAGACCGACGCGCCGCCGCAGTCACGGCACCGGTGCTGCCGCCGCCCGTGCGCGCACTTCTTCTCAGGCCGGCGCACAGGTGCCATTGCTGAACACTCTTGGTGTTTTCTTACACGCCCCGGCAAGCGGCGACGCAAATGAACGCGCCTGAATAGAGGCTGCTGTGTAGGCGCTGAGTTGTTTAAAACCCACAGGCGCCAGCCCGCCCGCCGCGGCAGAGACCACCGGAGGCCTGCTGGATGAACGCGCAGCCAATCCAGCACTGGCAACGAATTTGACAAGTAAGGCAAAGGAAATGGGGAAGATCAAGCTGTTTCCTACGACTGAGTATAGCAGGCAGCCCTCGGACCCCGTGGTGCCCCTGGTGCCATGCACGGGCATTTTCCTCGGCCCCAGCAAGTCCGGCAAAACCGTGGCGCTGATCAGCCTCATCCTGGAGCAGTATCGAGGCGTCTTCGAGAAAATCTACATCTTCAGCCCAAGTGTCAACATCGACGACGGCTGGATCCCCGTCAAGAAGTACATCGAGCAGGACCTTGGGGTGAACACGGAGAAAGAACAGGCCTACTGGGACGAGTGGGACGAGGCTGCGCTGCGGGGCATCATCCAGAGGCAGCGTAAGATCACCGAGACGTCCAAGAAGTTGGAAATGAAGAAACTCTACCAGGTGCTTGTAGTCATCGACGACTTCGCCGACACCCCGCAGCTGCACAAGGCCCACGGCGCCCTGGATACACTCTTTATCAGAGGCAGGCACATGCAGATCAGCACCTGGGTGAGTTCCCAGAAGCTGAGGCTCATCAGCGCAGCCGTGCGGGTGAACATGCAATTTCTCTGCTGCTGGAGGCTGCGCAACCAGCACGAGCTGGAGGCCGTCATCGAAGAGCTGAGCGCCCTGCTGCCGAAGGACAAGCTGCACAGGATCTACGAGCAGGCGACTCGGGACCCCTACAGCTTCCTCTTCGTGTACTACCTCAAGCCAAAGAATGAGATGTTCTACTTGCGCTTCGAAGAGCGTTTCGCTCTGGAGAAAGAAGCCGATGGGAGCGGCGCTCAGCTTCCTGGGCAGAAGCTGTTCGCAGTTCCACACTGATAGTACGGATGCGAGAATATCTCCTGCTGCACCTCCGTTGCAGCATCCAGTCGCCCATCGTCCGACGGACTGGTGGCTTCCTTAAAGGGATGACCACGATCTACGTGGACAGCCGCAAGAGGGTAGCCGGCTCGGACAGCGACTTTGAGGTAGACCTGGGAGAGTCTCTGCACCTGCAGAGCGACGCCAGGCTGGCCGTCTACAAGATTAGAATCGCCGACAGCTTCCTCTCGACAGACCGGGGCCGCTACTTGTACTGGCTCGACGCCGCGCTTGGGACTCTGAACTGGGCTCTCCTTCCGGAAGGTGCGTACACGGGCTCCCGGCTGGCCGCCTGGATCAGCTCCAACTTCGCTACTGCCACGTATAGCGAAACCACGAACAGCCTCAGCGTAGCCTACGACGGCAACCGCCTCATTCTGAACGATCTGGAGCTGCAGCAGCAGTTCCCAGACGCTGTGGACTACTCCACCTCACCGGACGCCTCTCCGAGCAAGCCCTTCAGCATCGACCACATGCTAGGCCCCAGCTTCGTCTCCGGCGGGCAGCAGGTCTTCGAGTTCGTACGCATGAATTGCTACAACGAGGTCTACCTGCGCTGCCCCCAGCTGGCCAACGCCAGCCGCGTGCTGGGCAATCTGGGGGACGACATCCTGTCCAAGATAACGCTGAAGAGCGGCGTGGGCACCATAGTGGAGACCGGCTCCGATGACGGGCGCTTCATGGCCGTTAGGGGCCCCATCACTTTGAGACACCTGCGCTTCCGGCTGACAGACCTGGGAGGGCAAGTTGTCCGACGGGCTCGTCCTTGTCCTTCGTGCGGTTTTTGGATCACGTCTAATCCCCCGAAGGTCTTTTAAAAAAATATTTTCTATTAAAAAACCGATGAAGCAAGCGCAACCGGCGCCAAGGCCTAGAGGCAGACCTCCGGGTAGTAAGAACAAGCCCAAGCCGCCCGTGCTGCCCCTGCCGAAGAGCAAAAAGATGATCCCCGACCTGCCCACGGAGCCAGCGCACGAGATAGACTCCCCCTTCCGGCCCAAGAGGGTGAGATTTCCCACAAAGCCCAAGACGGCGCCCAAGGCAGCACCCAAGGCAGCACCCGTGGCCAAGGCAGCACCCAAGGCAGCACCCAAGGCTGCGCCCAAGGCAGCGCCCGTGCCCAAGGCAGCACCCAAGACAGCACCCAAGGCAGCACCCAAGGCTGCGCCCAAGGCTGCGCCCAAGGCAGTTGCCGCGCCAGCTCCCAAGCCCAAGGCAGCGCCCAAGCCCAAGGCAGCGCCCAAGCCCAAGGCAGCGCCCAAGACAGAGCCCGAGGCACAGCTAGAGCACAGCCCGAGCCCGAGGTACACAGAGAGGTACGGCCCGAGGTGCGGCCCGAGCCCGAAGAAGCGCCTCGGCCGAGCGAGCGCGCCATGCGCATGCTGGAGAGGCAGTCGGCTTACGACCGGCTGACGGCGGGCGCAAGCGTCCTAGTGTAAAAAGCATGATGTCCATAGAGCCTCGCAACGAGCCGCAGATGCTCCGGTGGTTCCGCAAGACTTATCCGAGTTGCAGCCGCTGCTGCTGAAGCGCCAGCGAGAGCTGGAGGAGGCGCAGGCCTTCAACGCCTGGCTAGGGGAACGCAGGCTGGCCCAAGAGGGGCAGCGGCACCTGGACGATGTGAGCCGGCTGACGGAGGCCGTGCACCGCCAGGTCCCTCAGCTGCGCTACGCGCGCGCCGAGCGCAGGGGCGTCGAACGCGCAGCGGGCGAAGTTGCCGCGCAGTAACGGATAAAAGAGATGAAGA